AACTCTGGAAGCATTTTATCACCCCTTAATTTAACAAAAACCAGAGGTAATTACCTCCCTTAAGAATGGTAATACAATTAATTCTGAGGGAGTCAACACAGAGTAAACTCAACACTGAAGAAGTGTGAGAGTTGGGACCTACGTCAGGCTCTGCACACATCAGCTGGCAAAGGTAGCCTGGGTTTTGGTGGTGTGTAACTCCCAGGCACTGCAGAAGGAGATTAGATACCTAGTTTGGGGCTGTGGGTTGCACCAAAAGAGTCTGAGCATCTAAAATTAGCCATGGCAGGGTGGCATCTGAGCATCTTTGAAGATGAAGCCTCAAACTAAAACACAGACTTAACTGACTTCCCTGAAGAGTTTGGCAAGTCTCTAACAGCTGTCCTGTGCTTCTCCATGCTTGGATCCAAGTGGCTGCACTCAGTTAGGAAAGCACCAGTTCAGATTTCAGTTCCTTTTGATCTTTTGGAAATAAAAAGAACTAGTGACATGGGAGCAGCCACTTCTCCACAGACCATTGCCCTGAGCTTCATGGACCAGACTGGGATGCTGTCCATGAGAGACTTCTTTTTTGGAAAGAGGTCCCAAGGAGCTCCACACCTCCATGCCATGAAGTGCTCTCTGCTGATGCATCCCCCCATAGCAACTCAGGGAGATGGACCACTGGCAATGGGAATGTTATTGGTCTTCCTCTCTGTGACCATATGGTTAAGGCGAACTTGAAGACAAGTCTAGGCTACACCCTGAGCTACTTCTACCTATTTGAGCTAAGCCACCTAGACTGGACAGCAGGCAAGGATGCATCCAAAGCTTTCTCTCCCTCCCCCATATTAAAGATCCCTGGGGAACTCTGAGGCTCAATCCAAACAGAAAATCCTTCCTGGGTTCATAAGATGTTGGGCCTCTGTGGTCCAGCTTTGTGACTCAGCCTAGGAGCTGCAGTAGCTCCTCTGCCAAGAAGGACCTGGGTTTTGTTCCCCCTTCCACCCGGGGAAGTTCAAACCAGCAGCTTGTCCATCCCAACAGCGTGCTTCAACCATGCTGCTGAAAGGTAGCTCTTTGCTTGCTGAGGCTGGGCATGTAGAAAGAGGCAGAATGTGTTAAAAAGTGGTTTGTGTGAGCAAGATATACCTGAGGCTGTTCTTGCATTCAGCATGTGAGACTCAAAGGAAGCAAAATGCATGACGACTTCTGCTAGGTGCTCCCCGTGGGTTTCTCCAGGACATTGCATGGAGTGTGTGGAATCATGCTGTCATCCCACACAGAGATGAACTGGTGCATCAAGTTACACTGTGGTGACTGGCCCTGTGGCTGAACTGTGTAAACTGAAAACACACAGCTTCCCATGACGTGGCCCCTGTAAACACATTATTTCTTTCCAGAAAGCTTTGTGGAGCTTTGCTGGCCTGACAGTGCTCCTTTTAAAAAGAGATCATTAATCATTTCTAGAGATGGTTTGGTCTTCAGCATGGGAAGGATTGAATATGTCCAATACTCGTGAGGAATGTCTGAGAAAGGGAAGGAGAATGAGGATTTCTGGGTTCAGACCCAAATTCTGCTAATATTCTGAGTGGTTTTGAACAAAGCAAGGTTTGACAGGACAAGTCCATGGTGGGAGGACAGGGTGTTTGCATCTCAAGCCAAGCCTTGGCAATGAGCAGGAGGAGCAAGAGAGGCCATGCCCTGCATAGCAGCCCACCCTTCCTGCCTACAGTGGGGCCTTTAGTGCTCTGCATCCATCACCCCATGGACCTGCCTCCATGGGACCTATCACCATGCAAGGCACTCCTGAGCCCTCGAGAAGCCGAGGGGACCTCCCAAGGGGCACAAGTGGGGACAGCCCTCATCCCCTGTGCCATTTCCTCATTGTGCACATCATCGTCTAGTGAACCATTGCCAGGCTTTGTTCCCCACCCATCTACCTTTCTTTCCTGGAGGGCAGAAGAGGGCTTTATCACACCCTGGGAAAGCCTTGGCTGATGGTGCACTTCAGAGAGGTCGCCCTTGCTTCCCTGTTCAGCCCCAGAGCACAGCCAGGCAGGGCTGTGTCTAAGATGGTGTCACAGCCTAGGTGATCAATGTAGATGGGTGGTGGGTTTGCCCCCTGCCATGTTGCCCCCACCCTACAGGCCACGTGGCTGCAGAAGAGGCTGGTTCGGCAAATGCCGGTGTCAGCAGGTCTGATGGGGGTAAGGAAGGGTGACTGGAGATTGAGCACCTGAAGGACATGCCCTGGAGGCCTTTGTCTTCCAGTTTGCATGAAATCAAGACATCTTCCTCAAAAGACAGGGAAACAAAGAACCAGCCAAAAAGTGGAAAGCTGGCTTGCAAGGGAAAAATAGTAGTCTCCAACTCACATCCCTCTCCACAATGGCGTTGTAATTAATTTTTAAACCCTTTTTGGTGGTGTTTGGTTTTCTTCATCCCACATTCCTCAAAGCATTTAATTAAAGCATTTGTTGACATTTCTTATGTAGCTTGATAAACTGACAAGAAAGAACAACCAAGGGTCAGTTCAATAACGCTCATGATTGCCATCCTGATAAAATATTAAGTTGCAGTGTTCATTGTGAAACAGGGAAAAATATCGACAAAATGAATTTTTTTTTTTTCTTTGCATTCGCTTCATTCACATGGGAGAAGAAAACCTGCCGACTGGCATTACTCTGCTGGGGGCACAGGCTATGAGGTCCGCAAGGAAATAGTGTTTTTTTGAAGAAGGTAAATGGCCACAGCCCTGTCAGATTTCACGAGAGAGAGAGAGATTCGCTCTGAGATTTGTACAAAGGTGACTTAATCCTCTCCAGGCAACCAAGCTGGAGTCCAATTGCTGCCTGAGAGCACCAGGCAAGGTCCTCCAAGGTGCCTCCACGGCGCAGGAGTGAGAAAGGGCTTGCTTGGCTTGGATTAACTTTCATTATACTCATGTCAGCTCTTGGCTTAGGCTCTGAGCACAGCATTGCAAAGGGTGTCCCGACAGCTGCAGAAAACAGCTGGAGCAGAGTGAGGCTTCCCTGCAAGCCCTCCAACCTCCTAAGGTGGCTGCTTCACCTTGCTATGAGACTGGCAATGCTGCACGGGGCAATCACGACGTCTTTGGAGGCATTGCCTGGAGGAGGAGGGATTGTGCCACATGCTAGAGCAACCCTGAGGCTTCTCTGGTTGGCAGCCTTGTTGCAGCAGCCCATGCATCAGGCATTGGAAAGGTCTCGTAGAAATACCAGGGCCACCTGTGGAGCCTCTTGAGGGGAATTTTCCCTCCCCCCTTCCCTTCTGCAGATTCATGTATGACCCACCAGATCAGAAATAAATTTACCCCCCCACCCCCAGAGCTACATCTGTACTTGTAAACTAAACAGCTCATTTTCAGGCCTGAAGGCAAACCGGTATGGTCTGGCGACGTCCATGCTGTTAAAATCCAGACAAGGCGGCTGTATCCCAAATGCCTACTGAGGATGAATCCCACTGTGTTAATTCCTGAAGAGTGCCTGTGGGGAATTGCTTGGGACTGTGAGAGCTGGCCTCAGCTCAAAGGTTGCCAGGACCTTGCTCACAATTAAGTGGAGAGACTTTGTTGCAATGCACTATTTAATGTATTACTATAGATGTAGTCTGGATCTCTTTTCTGAGCTTGCTCAAACCACAGGGAGCCAAGAAACCAGTGATGCAAATCAGAGTGAGTTAAAGGATAGATTTGGGGTCAGGGCAGCTCCACAGTGCAGCCGGAGATGAGCTCAGGGCGTCATCTCATGCACTGAGAAGTCAGTGAGGACAGCGCATACCCGGGGAGACGTTGGGAGGGGAAAAAACATACAAACAAAGCAAAATCAGGAGTCTTGGTACCAAGGGGGTCATTCCAGTGCCAGTTCATGT